TAAATCATTTTTACTTCTAACGAGATGAATAAATATGTTTTATCATTTTACTTGTATTCTAAACTTAACATATTGCTCACTATAAGTACGCACAATGGTCATCAAAAACACATCCCAAAAAAATAGTACAATCATTTCTGCAAGTATATATATTTGCACGTTTAGTAATACAAAACGTTTCGTAATACAAAAACAACTTACAACTCTTAAATTCTGTCATCCGCTTTTCTTCATTAATAATACTCTTAGATTTTGCTTTAATGCAAAATCACCCTCGATTATTCGTAATAAGTATCTAGTAATTCAGATATTGTTTAATGAAGAATATTTGTCGCTTCTGATGTCATATTCTTATTTTAATACAAATTGAGCGAAGTATCAGTCTTTACCATTATGATGTGTAACACAGATATTGAAATTCAATTTTAAAAGCTATATTTATAAAATTCCTTTCTTTGGCGAATGATCCTAGCTAAAACATAGTACATTCTAAAAAATCTAAAAATAGCAATTTTCGTTCAGCATAGCATATCGTCAATTATCAAAATCTAATTATATCCGTTTTACGATTCATTTGTACCATAATGGTTAGTCTATTAATTTCTGTTCCCCGATAGTCTCCTACAACTTCTCGCACAAAATATAAAGTATCTTTAAAACTAATTGTCTTTTCTACGTAAAATATGTAACGTACGTATATTCGTATGCAAAATATGTAATATCAATCTGTACTAAATATCCATCAAAAATATACCTGCATTTTATATATCGTAGTTAGTAGTTATCAAAATTCTTAATGGCAGTCGCATACAGTTATCGTGATGTACGCTCTTAAGTTTATAAGATATAAAATTTCCGATAACGAACGTGATGCGTTCGCTATACTTTATCACTTTCTCTAGTTCTGTTGCTTTCGCGTGCACCATTCGGCCTTTGATCATCGTTAGATGTAGATTGAACCAACGGAATATCTGCATCTGGTTCTTTATGTTTCAACTTTGAGACTGTTGCTTGCGGAGGAATTAATCTTTTGTCAACAATTTGCAACCATAACATACATACTATTAGCGTTAACCCAGTGATACCGAAGGTATGATAGGTCCCATACCGAGTATAAATTATGGTAACGAATACCGGGCCAAAAATGCGAGACGCGCATCCAGCACCTGTCATCAGACCCATCCAAACACCCTGTGGCCGAGGCCCTAATACTTTGCTAAAGATAGTTTGTATCAAAGTAACACCGACCGGATATCCTGTAGTAGTAAATAGATATCCGATGAGAAACTGCGTGACCGTGACTCGAGGTGTGTAGGTACACCATTCTTGAGTACTTGGGCATCCTAAGATTTCTGTGCCGTTGGGATATTTGGTAACATTGTTAAATGCTACGTAAAACGTTAACACGAAATTATAAAATGTTGCACGTAAACAAAATGAAATTGAAAGAGTTTATACGTACGTCCTAAGTAAGCAATTTTCGGAGGGTCAGGTCCCCATGGAATACACAATATTCTTCCTATCACCATGAACATCAAGCCTCCCCAAAACAATACTTTACGCTCATTGAATCTGAAAGAGAGTGTGAGAAGTGAACGGGAATAAATCATTTTGTTTTTCAAGCGCGTACCTTTTGCATAAAGGTTCAATCATGACGAACGTAATACAGGATATTACAGCACCAATGCTCAATAGAACGCCCACATAATACAAGGCCTCAGATTTCGACCACTCAAATTGATCCATGGTTAAAGACGTTCCAAGTCTATGAGAAAAAGTAGCATGTAACATCCGATATCGTACAGTTTATACGAGCAAAGATATTCTACTGACGTTTCAATAAGAACGAAGTTAAATACTAAGACGAAAAAGGCACCTATCAATGTCCAAGCTCCTAAATGATCTGGCATTATTGCCTTCCACGTTTCTTCCTCTGTAATTGATTTCGATCAGACGTATATATCGTATTTTATTTAGGTTCGTTTACCTGTTTGTTTTCCTTCGTCTCGCATCGCTTCGCGAATAGCTATTCTATGTTCTGTGAAATTCCACGGTAGGAATAAGATAAAATTGACAATTCCCATTATCACATTTATCCAACCAGGCATAGTATACATATTCACAGGTAAATTTAAAAAGTATACCCCATCCTCCCCGAGAGGTGTAACTGCCGCCTGCAAACCTGGGCCTACTACGAATCCTAACACCTAACATATTAAATCATGTTACACATAAATGATATTAACTTGAATAATAGAAAATATAAAATTGCATCACCTGGGCAAGAGATACCATCGAAACAGCATGCGTTCTTTCTACGAATTTCGTAGCTGCCGAGAGATAAGATCGTGCTACAGCAATATTAGCTAGAAGCATAGCATTAAAATGTTATGTAACCCTAGAATCCTGTTTTAATCGTCAGCACCATTAAAATCAAGTGAGATATTAACCGGAACTAACTCCAACCAAGAATCTAGCAGCTACCATGTACATTTTTTTATCCCCTGGTACGACCTCGAGAATACTGTACATTCCTGATGCAAAAGTGAAGAGAGCCAACGTTGATAATAGTGGAAGTCTTATAGATCCTCTCTTGTCTCCCCACCATCCTACCAAAGGAGAAAATAACATCTGTCCCAAAGGATTTGCTGCAATTACCCACCCCATAAACTCTTTTCCAGCTGTACTATCCAACTAAAACATCAATGCAAAATGTTAATATTGTATTCAGAAAGCTATGTTCACTGGTTCTTCTTCATTGTACCTTATCTAAATATGGCCATACTCCTGTAAGTATGATACTGAAGCCAAGGGACATCAGGAACATTGTAAAATAAATGGCATAAATGCTTCTCCATCGTTTCTTTCTTTCAGCAACTGTTTCCAGGTCATCATCTACTGGAATAGCGCTCCTTCTGCAATGCAATATCAGTGTTTTAGTATTACGGTATGGATTGCTACATTCTTTTGCATTACCTTTTGCGAAGTACTTTCCTATACCAATCCATTAAAAATTTTATAGAACGTGTACAAACAATTATAGTAAAATAATATCACTTGGTAGAATTCAAAATTCTCTTGTATAAATATAAACTTCTTCGAATTTTCTGATGTATATTCCAAATCTAAAAAATAATCTTAATTTAACTTAATTAGCTATAAATAATAATAGTATGC